ACAGCCTGTGTGAGCTGAAAGTAATGAATCCTAAGAGGAGCCAACCCGCAGGGCCCATCAGCATCTTGCTTCTCGTATGCCAGCTCTGGAGCAGGCAGAGATTCATGGGAACTTCACGGGATCAGGACAGAACACTGAGTAAACTCTGTATGTGTCTTCAAGATGAGCGACGGTTCTAGGTCAGCACAGATGCATGATGGGTCACACTGCCACCTTTCCATGGCATCCACCTGTATGGTAGGGAAGCACCAGGACCAGGAGAGGCTCTCTGCGCTGGATCTGCACAGGAAGCAGTCAGTCCTGCCCAGTCTTCTCAATGCTGATCATGGCCATGCAGTCCTCACTTGGAGCAAATGTGTGTGACCAAAGGGAATAAATGGGCATTCCATAAATAGCTCAGGCTACTCCAAAGCCATGACAACAAAGGCCTGGTGTGCAGACTCGGGTGCCTCCAGAGGCATGACAGGAAAAGGAGGAACCAGGAACCACAGGAAGGAGCTGGCTCAAGGAACCTCAAACACACCCACCGCCTGAGTGCTCCCCAGAGAATCAGGACTGCCAAAGGATCCAGCTTCTCAAGATAGGCCAGAAACTAGGGGTATGTGGGAACCAGGGATTTATGGGAAATGCTCTCTTTTAAGTGAAATAAAACCCACTAATACCTGCATGACTAAACAAGATGTTTAAGTGCCAAAATCTGGTATGGCCTACCAATCTCCTACATGTACACAGAACTATACCTACGGTCATAGGACAAGAACTGCTGAGGGGGAAGAGGTCAGCCTGCAGCAGGCAAGGGCGGCTACCCACTGTGGGAGCTGACTTCAAGCTTTGAGCTTTTGCAGCTGCAGGGCGGACAGAAGACTTCCCTAAGAGAGCGAAGCAGAGAAGTGGAGTTGACCCTGCCATCAGGAATGGGAAAAGACATGTGGGCGTAACATATATTAACATGGGCACGTCTAGTCTTCCCTTTCCATCCCCCTACGATGGGAGCTGAGAAGAGAGAGTGTGAGAAAGCAACAGGCACTGGTTGTTGCCGAGGTGGCACATATTCGAGACAGCATCTCATGGAGAAACAGTGATTAGGATGTGGTCACCCCCATGGGCTCTGAGAAGTTCCACAAGATCGTGAGTTGCTCTTGACTCGTGACTTACTTTTAGGACACTCAGGCAGGTACTGCTAACGGCAGAAACACATCTGTACACATGAGTGTTAAAGGACCCCACTCCCCAAGTCACTCTGAAATGTGGGCAGACTCCTAGCTGAGGCTGGCGTCCTGAAGTCTATAAAGCTGGTAGTTTGGGAAGGGGATGAGACAATTTGTGAGGAAGAGATGCACTGGGGCTAGGAGCTGCCTGGTAACAGACTTGAGGTAGACCTCATGAAGAGGAAAGAGACATGTTGGAAAGACAGTGTCGTGTCCTGACTCTTGCTTGTCTCCCTTTCTCTCCAGATTATTCATTCCTGAATCAGAACCTATATCCCTATACCACTGAACCAACTACAAGCTAGTGAGTGTTGGAAAATGTGGTGTGTTTCCCTGACATCCTGGTTTTCTTTCTGAGGAAGAACTAAATCATATGTTCAAGTGTAAAGAAAGAAATGTTGAAATATTGTATGACTGAGACGACAAGATGCTACCAAGACCTGGGCAGTTGGGAGTGGTCTGTTTGCCAACCAGAAATTCTTTTTGTTCTGTCTGAGAATGGAGGGGAAGCTTTTTCTCATTGTCCTCGGGTCTGATTGTGTGCCTGGGCTTTCTGAAGAAAGTCAGAAGCATGTCTGAAACATTGTTTAAGCCCTGGGAACTCACCCACAGTTCTCAGTGGGGAGTATCTTATCTCACAGGGCTGAAGAGAGATGGCTAGGTCAAAGCCACATTGAGGGTCAAATGACCTTTTCACAGATAGTTACATTACATTACGATTCATAACAGTAGTAAAATTATAGCTATGAGGTAGTAACAAAAATAATTTTATGGTTGGGGTCACAGCATTAGGAAAAAGGAAAGCCACGAGCTTAGATGGTGGTGGGCTTATCAGGCAAGCATGAGAAACTAAGTTTGATCACCAGCACCCATGGCAAAGCTGGGCAAGGGGCCAGTTTCTCTACTGTCAATGCTAGGAAGGCTGAGACAGGAGGATCCCGAGACCTTGCTGGCCTAGCAGAATCAGTGAGCAGCAGATTCTGTGAAAGAATCTCTGTGAACAGCACAAGGAGGAGAGCAATAAGGAAAGGCATCCAATGCTGACCTCAGGATTGCACATGAATGTTCACAAAGGCATGTGTGTGTATATTAACCTGAGCACATGTATACATAAAAATAAAAATAAATACATAGCAATGTCAAGGTTGAATGAAAGCAATGCCTGGTCCCTGGCATTGATGATAGAGGGGGAAAGCCAGCAAGCATTTCAGTTCTCCCACCCATTCCCCAAAGACCAAAGCAGAGACTCCACCCCTTCTCCCATGGTAGTGGCCCATCATAGGAAAAGTATTGTCATCTGCAACGTAGAAGCAATGCAGGGACTGCTTGGTAGACTGGTGTGGTCATCCAGCAGAAGTCTATTTAGAGAAAGGATTACCAGACAAGCCTTTGGGGAGGAACTTTCCCCAAAGGAAGAGAGCCAGGAAGGTCAGAGGAGGTCTTAATCATCAGAGGAAGGTAAGTCCTGCCTTCATGACCCTGATCCAGCCCACACATTCAGCCAGAACTCTGGAGAGAGGAGACTGAGCCAAGACAAAAAGAGATGTACTCATCACAAAACAGTTTAGACTTGAGGTGCAAGGAAGAGAAATGTCCCCATACTCAGGAACCTCAATATTCTTGGGGTCAGCATACCAGGCTGGCTGAGCAGCAAGAGTCAAAGCAGTGAGCAATGTCTGGCACAGGAAATTAGGTAAGACATAAGGAAATAAGAGTCTACCGGAAATAAGAGTCTCTTGGGATGTCTGGGCTGTGAACAATCTATGGATGTCAGATATGGAGAATGACCAAAAAGTATACACTGTAGGTGTGGGAGTTAGTCAGATCAGAACTTAGCTTTTTGTCAGCTACACCAGCATAGCTGACTGAGTTTCTTGGATCGTCGGAGGGCTGAGGGCGAGAGAAAGAAAGACAAGGAGTCATCTGGTAAAGAATCAAATGCTGTATTTTCAACTGTGTAGATCCCTTTTATATTCCCCACAAAACAGGAACACAAACAGGAACAGGAATAAAAACAGGAACAAGGAGATACACTTGGCAGCCTACCACCCAAGCTTGGATTTCTCCTTGAGCAGTCTTCTCAGGGAAATGCATAGAGATGGGGGAACGGGCATAACAGCACAGGTGCAGAGGATGGTGACTCACAATTCACCCTTTTTCTTTTAATTAGAGGCCGAGCAGAGACAGAGACCAGACCCTCAGTGAAAATTGGGGATATTATAATGACCCCCAGCCCCCTGCCGTTGTACAGTGAGGTGGTATGGTCATACCCATCCCGGTGTCTTTTTCCTGAGGAGGGGAACTGTATCAACACCAACCCCTATGCAGCTAGGCATGTCTCTCAGGGAAAACTTCCTTGCAGTCCCGGCTGAAGCTCGGGCCTAGGTGAATGATTATATTTTTTGTAGCATGGTCAGCCACACTTGGGCAGAGGGATCCCCTCGACCATGTAAAAGCACCAATCCTCGCACAACTGCTTGAGATTGTACCTGTTGTGCCCAAAGGTGGGACAGACACCCAAAGACAGCAAAATTAGGCTAAAACTGCCAAGGAAGTAACTCCAGCCCACTCTTTCACCAGCATTCCCACTTGAAGAAACATGCTCAAGATAGATGACCCATCAATAGGATCAACTCTGGTATTATTAACTAATACAATCTTATTAAAGAGCTGCCGAGTAAGATAATAATAAGTAGCATTCCAAGAGCCAGAAATCAACTGATTCAAATACTTAACAGAAGAGGAAGCATTAATTACATGCACAGGTGTAACACAAATGACATGAAAGAAGGGATCATAGCTAACAACATGTCTGGTGGATAACATAAAATCTACTTGTTCTTGAACCAAAGCAAGTTGTTGATTTGAATCTAAAACAGCAATATGAAAATGAGACTGAATATCACTCTGAGAAAGCAATGTATCTGTACCCTCCCGAAAGTTCATTCAATGTCTGGGCAGTTTGTATGTTGCTGGATAAGGCAATGCCTGCGCCCACGGCAGCCCCTGCAGCAATGGCAATGGTGGCAATGATCCTGGCAGTTGGGTGGCCAGTACCAGTGCTGTGTTATGATGATGCAGTTCTTCCAGGTGGTGATGGTGGTGAAATGAAGAACATCACTTTCATAAGAAGCTCGCTCTCCGTTGTTCTTGGTGTTGATGTCCCCTTTGCTCTGACGTCCCTTTGTTCCAGTCACTTTCTCCCTTCGGTATTTTTCAGAAACACACAGCTTGGGGTTGAAAGCAAAGTACATTTTCCCCGACCTGACAGTCAGGTTCTAGTGGTTCCATTTCCACAGCTGCTACAAGTTCTGGTTGTCCAGGACATAGAAGGAGTAGTTCCCTTCTAGCTGCTCCTCTCCTAAGATGAGACGAAGGTTCTTCAGGAAGGACAAGGAGACCAAGGCATGGGAATGGCGGATCTCAACGTAGCCGGTTACCACCTGATGAGCCCCATGAAGTTCTCAAGTCCGAGGCAACGTTATTGCCTTGCCGGATGTTAATAAGCAGATTGTTCGGCATTGGGGATGTTGGCACAGAAATCTCGGTCCACACAGCACCCTGGACATGTAGGAACCAGGAGGGCAGGCAGGCACGTACACGCCTCTGTAGTAGTAGTGTTGGCAGGCCACACAGGCTGTGCTGCCCTCAGGCATATGGCAGCTGCCCAGGCACTCCGGGTGGCAGCACACACGCTGTTTTCGGTGCAGGCTCACCTCCTGCACACACCTGGACACATTCTCTGGCAGCGATCTGCAGTCCAGCGGTGGCAGCTGCATTCATCGTTGATGGTGGTCCTCTCACACATGGGCCTCCCCTCCAATGTCCCTGGACACAGGTCCCCACATTCTCTTGAGGGCTTGTTCCCCACAGTGCAGCATCTAAGATGAGAGACCAGTCCATGGTGGAGAGGCAACAGAGGTCAGCATTTCTCTCAATCCTGATGGCCCCCCCCGAGTATTGTTCCTCAAGACTACAAAGCCCAATATCCCTGAGATTGGTCATCTCAAAGATGACCAGTGTGCCGCTGCAGATGGCAGCAGCCACGGACAACTGAGGTTCCGGAAGAGGTCCCCTAGGCTCTCGAGGCCGGCCACTCGAAACAGCAGCAAGTACTCGGTGATGACTGTGAGCCTGGGGAAGTGGCAGCCTCGGCAGTCCCTGACCTTGGAGCTGAGAAGGACGTGGAGGAAGCCCCCGATCACTGCACAATTCTCCAGGTGCCCCAGCTGTGGACAGTCGTCCCGGATGTCAATGCCAGGCCCACAGACCTCTCCACTAGTCAGCCAGAGCGAGAGCGCAGCAGAGAGAAACACGAGCCCCCACAACGAGGTCGGGGACCCTCCTCCGGAGCCAGACCCCACCCCTCTATCTGGGACGAAATTCTCCCCTCTCAAAAAAAAAAAAAAAAATAAGAAAAAAGCAGAAAAAAGTCTCCAACTCAGTCCTCACTCTCGTCTAAAAACAAGAGCGCAGCCAACGATCCTCGAAAGCGATCCTCAAAAGTGATCCTCGAAAGCACCGTGGACAGGGAGGGTGGCATTTGCAACCCAGAGATGCAGAAGAGGGAGGAAAACTGTACAGAAAGAGGAGCAAAGCCCAAATCGCCGCAGGCCAAGACAAATGTCCCAAACTGATTTTTTAAGGACTAAAGGGCCATGGCGATCGGCAGCAGCATACAAATCACCTACTACCTTTTTCCCAGTCTTCCAGCTTAAAAGTGCCGCTCGCCACAAATCATGGAAAGAATTTTTGTAATTCTTTCATAAATTCTTCAATTACTCTAGCTTTAACAGCAGTTCCCCGCTGAGCCAGAAGAGTAGATAGTTGCTTAGCCAGCAACTCCTTACTATGTGCCAAACCCATGGCGTTTACTTAACCCGAAAACTTACCTTTGGTTAATGCCCAATACGTCTCCTGTCCTAATGTGCGCCCCGGAGACGGCCAGTCAGCAATCTTCTTCATCTTTCCGATCTCGATTGGGACCTCCACTTGTCAGCTACACCAGCATAGCTGACTGAGTTCCTTGGATTGTCGGAGGGCTGAGGGCGAGAGAAAGAAAGACAAGGAGTCATCTGGTAAAGAACCAAATGCTGTATTTTCAACTGTGTAGATCTCTTTTATACTCCCCACAAAACAGGAACACAAACAGGAACAGGAATAAAAACAGGAACAAGGAGATACACTTGGCAGCCTACCACCAAAGCTTGGATTTCTCCTTGAGAAGTCTTTTCAGGGAAATGCATAGAGATGGGGGAACGGGCATAACAGCACAGGTGCCGAGGATGGTGACTCACAGCTTTTAAGTTACTTAAGCTGCAGAAGGCATCAGGAATGATGAGATCCCAGGATTCCCCTCATGATAATGACAGAAGGTCCTCCATGCCTGGAAGCTTCCTCTATTTTACTTAATAGTTCTGTGATCAGAACATACCTTCTCTGTAATAGCACTGATATTGTCTGCAGACACTTCTGATAAATGTCACCTCTGTGGACTTTTGTATCCGCACGCAGCACATGAGTTTTTGTAACAGTAGATAGCTTTCTCAAAATAAGACCTCCTGAGGAAACTCAAAGAACAAAACAGATAATGCCAAATTGCCACAATGGTAGACAAGATCAGATGGGTCTGTGTGCAGCTCAATCTTCAGTCTCAAGTCCTCTGTCTGGCCTGAGAACTCTACAGAAAAGACAAGGGAGGAAAAAAACCCGTTTGAAACACAAATGTGCTTGTGATTGTTAGTTTCAATTACCAACTAGACACGGTCTAGAATTCTCTGAGACAAAAGTCTCAGTGAGGGATTGTCTTGACCAGATTGGCCTGTGGGCATGTCTGCTAGTGGCAGCAGGGTGGAGAGGTGGTGGTGGAATCTTATTTACTAATATTAATTGATTTGACAGGTCCCAGCCCACTGTGGGTAGCGCCATTTCCTAGGCTCTGTGCTAAGTGTAGAGAAGGGACAGAGTACTTGTAAGCTTGCATACATGCCTTTCTCTCTGCCCTTGACTGTGGACATGATATGAGCAGCTGCTTCAGTTTCCTGCCCTGATGGAATGTTTCCTGTGATTGTAAACTAGAACAAACTCTTTCTCCTTTATGTGGCTTTTTCTGGGTATTATATCACAGCAGGAGAACAAAAATAGGACAAAGATCATGCTGTGAGAGTAGAAGCAGACAAAAGATATCCCTGAGACTTTACTCTTCTACAGCACCTGAGAAAAAAACTCTGTGCCAAGAAAGAAGACTCCACAGGGAAGGCTCAAAACAAGCTTCCAATGCAGGTCAATGCAGAAGCTCACATCAGATCATCTGCCAGCTTAGGATGCAGTGATGGAGGGCAAAGCTACCCAACCCTGGAATGTCTTGTTCCCTCAGCCAGTGTCAGCCTCTAACCAGCCCTGACACTTCATGAATATTCACGAACATTGGCTCAGTGCATTCAGAATATCCTTGAGTTTGAGCTCTGCCACTACATCTCCCTGTGCCCCACCCCCACCTGACACCCCTCCCAAGTCAAGTTGAATAAGGATGCAGCCCTTACACTTTTCAAAAAGATTGCATTTAATTCTATTATTATCTTACCCTTTCCTCTCCAAAGTTCTGATTTTTATCAGGTTATTCCTAACTATATCTGGTGGCAATGTCACAATGTCCCTGATGGAGATGTCAGATGGAGTCCTCTATCTCCCATGCACATGGGCATTGTAGCACTGGCCAGATCTGACTCTTAGGAGGGAGGAATCACACTGGTTTCTGAATGGAGAATCAGTACAGAAGATCACACACCAGAAACTCAGAGTGACACAGGCCTAGCTGGGCCACAGTTCCACTGCTTTGGCCTGTGGAAAAGTATTCAAAGTTTGGATGACTTAGTGGTTTCCTGGGGATTTCCTGGGGGATAATACTCATGACAGCTTCCTATCTGTGGCAGAACCCACAGCTTAAAGCAGTTCAAACTTGCCCTCTTATGGGTCTGAAGTTGAAAGTCTAGCTAAAGCCAAGATGTCAGAAGGGCTTGTCACTCCTGAAGGTTCCAGAAGATAATCTGGTTCCTTGTCTTCCCAGCTTGGAAAGGCCACAGCTGTCCTTGGCTATGTTGGTCCCTCACTCTCCAAAGCCTGTGGGGCCACAGAACCCTTCTCATATCATAGCACTCTGAGTTCTGCCTGCAGCACCCACTTATAGAACCCTAGTATTATCTTAGGTCTGTCCAGAAAATCCAGAGTCATGTCTCAATTTTAAGGCTGATGAGCATGCCAACACTACCTTTATCCTTAATTCTTTCTTGCCATGCAAAGCATGTGATCATAAGTTCTGAAGATTAAGATTATTCATTTTTCAGACCATGTCACCTTCATTCTCTCTCTCTCTCTCTCTCTCTCTCTCTCTCTCTCTCTCTCTCTCTGTGTGTGTGTGTGTGTGTGTCTAGATGTGACTTGCTGTATGGTTTGGTAAAGAAGGAGCCTAGTGTTTCCTCTAGCAACAGGCCAGCCTGCAGTGTTCTGTAAGACCTGCATGCTTTCTCTTGCTGTGATGAAATAGCCTAACCAAAGCCACTTGGGGAGAGAAGAAAAAGGCTGTATTTGGTTTGTACATCCTGATCATAGCCCACCTTTGATGGAAGCCAAGGCAGGAACTCAAGACAGAAATCTGGAGGCAGGAAACAGAGGCCATGGAGGAACTTTGCTTACTGGCTTGTTTCCCTAATGGCTTTCACAGCCTGCTTATCATACACCTCAGGACCACAGGCACCAAAAATGCCAGGATGAGCCCTCCCATATCAATCATTAACCAAGAAAATGCAAGAAAATGCTGCCACCAACTTGTTTACAGGCCAATCTGATGGAGGCTTTTTCTTAATTGACATTCCCTCTTCCCAAATGAACCTGACTTGTGTCAAGTTGACATAAAACTAACCAGCACACCCTGGAAAGATTCTAGCTAATGCTGCCCACCCAGACTGTCAACCTTAAGTCATAGCAATCATCTTCCAGGATTCAGCCAACCTCTCTTGTACCTTGTGTGGAATAAAAATGGTCGAGACTCAGTGTCCAAACTCCTATGACTTTCCACTCCAGCCACAAGGAGGGATGACATATAGTCACACTTCTACTAGAACTCAAGTGCTCATGAGAGCAGGAGTACTCCCTTGATATAGAAATCAAGTTTCAAAGCACCCAAGAGCAGAGTCCCCTTCTGGGGAATACCAGAATAAATTAGTTTCACTCTCAGGAGACAGTTGTGTGGCATGTCTCTCTACCCCACATGGATGAGTTCCCCATTCTTCATTTTCCACAAGTCTCTTTGTGACAACCGTCTCCATGGTTCTGGAGCTTTTCTTCAAGCTGTCCTTGTCCTTCAGATCCTCAGCAATCATGAGCTGACACCTAGCTTCAGAGTATTCTTTCTGCTAAAGGTACATACACCATCCTTGACCATCTATGGTAGACCGCATGAGGGCAAAGGGGCTGCTGAACATGAGCACAGCTCCTTAGTGTTCTGAATCAGCATAGCTGCACAACTTGGATGATATTAACTATGAAGGAAGACTATGTACAACAAGATCAGTGGCTCAGAGACAGCTGGTTGGTTCTTTCAACAGGTGCTGCAGTGCAAATCAGGCATGGTGAGCACATCTATAACCCCAGCAATGGGGAGGTAGAGGCTGGATGACCTAGAGTCCAAGGGCATCATCATCCTCTGATGTATGGTGAGTCCAAAGCCAACCTGAGCTACATGAGACCCTTACTTAAAAAACAACCACAACACCAAACCCCAACAAAATAGCAAGTAAGTTTGCATGAATACTCCTTTCGCCACTCTGAAACTAGCAGTCAGTGCTATCATCTGGTTGCAAGTTATAATCTGGTGACCCATTGCTGTGTCCAAAACTGCCACCAGCATGGACAAAGCAGAAGCCATTACACCTCCCAGCATCTGTGAGATGTTGACACAGCACAGGACGAGGTGAGCCCTCTGATCCTCCTGTGTCCACTGATGCTGTTTCTGGTCCTCAGCTGGTGATGGACTGACCTGGAAGGTACCGAGACACCATCACTGAGACAAGGCCACTCTCAGCCTTCACCATGCTCTGGACAGCTTCTGTGGGCACTGAGCTAACTCACACTAGACTGTTGCTCCCTGGGGATTCCTGTTGAGGCACCCATGAGTGCAAACTCATATCTGTCAACGGATCTATATCCAACTTTGAATGTTGTCTCTTTCCAGTTAAAGACACCTAATAGAATACAAATTTCTATTTTTGTTTTGTGTTTGTTTTTAAGATTTATTTATTTAACAGGCATCAGATCCCCTTACAGATGGTTGTGAGCCACCATGTGGTTGCTGGGAATTGAACTCAGGACCTCTGGAAAAGCAGCTCTTAACCACTGAGCCAGCTCTCTAGCCCTGCATACAAATTTCTAAAAGTGATGAATTATATATGGTATTTTCTTTATGATGAAGCAGTGGTTGGGAAAGGTTTAACATTTTTTCCAGTCTTTGGTAGTCTACCCCAAATTTCTTTGTAACTTTGTGTAGCTTAATGGCTGGGCATTTCTAATCGTTCCCACTGCTAGAAAACATTCCCCTCCGGGGCTCCTGAGTCAACATCTCTTAAAATCTAAATTTCATCTCTGCTATCACAAACACAATTGGGGAAGTGGCCTGTGTGGCCACTTTCCCTGATTCTCATATGATGGCCAGGCTTTAGGTCTGGTCTTTCTTCTTCCCCATCCAGGCTCCTTCCTCTATCCTGGTTCCTAGACCACACAAACCTCAAAGACCCGCCTCAATGTATCTGCCCAGCCATTGGCTATTGGCTCTTTATTGATGGATCAAAAACCAATTGGGGACAAGAGCTTTCAGTATTTGGACCTACAGATTCCTGAACCTCACAATGCTGTTGTAAACTCTTATCATCAGACATCATCTCCAGAGTCTAAGATACAGTGTCGCCATTCTCCATCATTCCTATAATGTCGTATCCGCAGATGGCACTTTCAATGCGACCTCATTCACAGATTGGCAAACTTCTATTTCCCTTCTCCATGCATACTGTTGACTCATTAACGTTTAACTCATAGCCAACAACACCTATCTCTCACCCGAAACTGACTAGGCACATCTATTTTCTCCTGAGGGCACACCACAGGCTTCCCCCACCAGACAGCTCCTCAGTACTACATGTGGGGTCAATTCAAACACAGAGCTCAGCAACAAAACACTCAAAATCCAAGAGAATATGGCACAAATAAGAAACTGCTAATTGGCAGTATTGAGAGCCTGCAGCAAGATGCAGAGTCACCTTGTTTGACCTCAGAGCAATGCATGTCGGAAAATCAAAGGTCTGCTGTTCTGCACACCCTCTGAGAACAACTAACTAATGAACAACTGCAGCTATTGACTTTGGAGTCTGGAGAATGTTTTAATGAATAAATGAATTTGCAAAGGCAAGGAGTACGAGATGAGGGTTAGTGCTATCAG